CTCTCTCTCTCTCTCTCTCTCTCTCTCTTTCTCTCTCTCTCTCTCTCTCGCTCACACACACAACGTGCACACCGCGTCTGTCTATGAGGCGCCCAACTGGACAAAAGCGAAGCGAACTCCTTGAGAGAAAGAGTGTGACTTCAATTAAACTTATATAAACTAATAATTTATATAACTATACTGGACAGTTTAAAGCTCATAACCATATTTTGTTGTTGAAGAGTGCAGTATTATGTTGCATCATGCAGTATTTGTCCTGAAAAGGCTACTGCGTAAATGTCTGTATTACCTCAATAAATTTAAGGTCATTCCTAATTTATTTGTATTTTTAATACATTTTAATCATTAACTTTAAAAGCATACTATTTTTACAACTAAAATAACAGTCAAGGGTAAAAAAAAAACCTAATTCCCAAAAATTAAAACGGAATTTGGGGAAAAATAAAACGGATTTCACAGGGCCCTACAATACGTTTTGTTTTGGATCTATATTGTACATTCTATAAGCGTATTTTCGGTAAGAAAAGAAAAAAAAAAGGATTTAACCTTATGTTCGACTGTGCCTGACAAAATATATTTTAAATTAAATGCATGCAGTCTGAAGAAGAGAGCCACCATGGACCACTTCCTGCAAAAGAAGCAGACGTGCACCCCACTACAGGCGAATGCACTCACTGAGTCAGTATTGCAGATGCTGATCTATGATATGAGGCCGCTCTCCATTGTCGATGGTGCTGGGTTTCAACAAATGATAGCCCAGTTCAATCCAGACTACATCCTGCCATCCAGAACCCATTTTACCCACTTAATGGAGCAGAAATACAATACAACGTTTCTGAAGGTAATTGTTTAGAATGCACACAAAGTCAGACATATATATATATATATAATATTTTTTTTTTTTTAAATCACAAATTTAATTTAAAAGCAATTATGTGTGTAATTTTTTTATAGCTAAAATACATAACTTAGTTTTGGTAAAATCATAGTAGCTGCAATTATTAAAAATGTAAAACTTGTATGTTGAATAGTTTCTGTTGACATGTAGGTTTTTGCATGTTAAATATTTTCAAAAATCAAATTTTGTGTTTAAAGGTAAAGCAGATCCTAAAAGAGGTAAACAGCTCCATCACACTGACAAGTGATGTTTGGACCAGCCGTGCGACAGAGGCATATCTTGGAGTTTCTTGTCATTTCATCACCAAAGACTGGCAAATGAAGACTTTGAACCTTGCCACTCTACCCCTGGAGGAGAGGCATATCGCTGCGAACATCATGATATGGATGGAAGAGGTGATAGAGAAATTTGACATCTTGCCTAGCAAAATTAAAGCAATAGTACATGATAACGGGTCTAACATGGTGGCGGCAGCTCGACTCCTGGAAGAAAAACACGGCTGGTCTTCAGTCCGCTGTGCTGGCCACACCCTCCAACTTATCATCAACAGTGCCTTTAAAGAGCCCAGCATCAACAAAGCAACTGGTGCTGCAAGAAACCTAGTTGAGCACTTTAGGAGAAGTGAGCTGGCAAATTCAAAACTGAAGAAGAAGCAGCAGCAAATGTTGAACACCAAAGAGCACAAGCTGATCCAGGACGTCAGTACGCGATGGAATAGTACCTATTACATGGTAGAAAGACTCCTGGAGCAGCGCTGGCCAGTCACTGCAACTCTCTCAGACCCTGAGGTAGGGCCGCAGCGACGCGTCGACATCATCGATTACGTCGACTATAAAAATACGTCGACATGCATGGAAAGCGTCGACGCGTCACATTCATTATTTACGTTTAAATATCGAGTCACGGCAGCTTCTGCTCCAGCTCATGGTGAAAATGACACAAAGTCACACATCACACATATTATCACATAAAACCAGACCACGATCATCCAAAATATGGGAATACTTTAAACTACAGCCGAACAGAAAGGTGCTTTGTTCCCTATGAACGACCATCATCCTGTCACCGAGAAACATCCTGTGAGACTGCGAACTCAAAACGACGAGCCAGCTAGTAGTAGGCTAATTCCAGTCAGTTTTTGGAGCTGTTGCAGTTATACCTTCTTTTTTTCCGCTATTACAGCTTGTATGCTAGGTAATAAGATAATTGCTAACAATGCAGATGTAATTTATTGCCCCATTCGGCGACAATAATGGACTTCAACTTAAATCTGTCAACGAAGCTTTATATCAGTGCATTTAAATAGCTAGTTTTTAAAAGTTACGTATGCACATGTAGACTAAAGACCTGCACTCCAGCGGGACCCAACTCAACAGAAAGAATGAGGTACGCGGTATCCCGGTATCTGATGACCGAGTGCGGGCGCAGACCTTAACGCACTTGTGTGTGTGCTGTTTCCGGGAGAATAAAACGATTCGCGGGATTCTCGCAAAATATAAATCTATATATTGAACATCTCAAAACTAGTAAATTGTCATATATCGGTTGCACAAAAGCAACAAGAACCACTAAAACAAAATAAAAACTATTTACAGGCCAGAGTCCATCTATTTATATCATGTTTGCAGCGTTTAACAATGTAGCCAATCACAGACATATGGGTCAATTTCTTGAATGCATTGGCCAATCGGAAGCATTTAAGATGGAATCTCCTCACGGCTCAAAATTGACTTTTTGTTCAGTGCTGAATTCTGCATATTGGCAAATCGATATTATGAAAGATTCATTGTGCAGTCAGTTTCATTGCTAATAACAGATGTCAGCTTTTTAGGAATTATTAAGGGAGAAATCCGAATCTTTAAAAACAAACGATAACGTTATATTTACATATTAACAGTAGCTTAGGCTGTAATCTAGTGTGTGTGAACCTTTTTATAAAAAAAACACAAGTGCATTTCGAACAAGTTAATTGAGTAAATCATATTCCCACTATAGTAATTAATTACAGACTATTAATAAACACATTTTCTAAATAGGCCTGTGATTGTATACATCGGACATTTTATGATATAGTACCATTAGTTACAAATAAAGTTTAAAATATTTGCATATTTCATTACAAGAGTCTCCATTCTCTCTAGAATCACAACAATCACACACAGACATGGTGAGTCAGTGAAATCAGACACAAAGTTTAATGTCTCTCTTCAAAAGAGTAAAAAAGTCAAAATAATACCAAAGTTGTCGTAAACTAGACTATTACATACAGCGGAAAGAAATTTGTACAACTTGCAGTTCAGGGCTCATATGGATATTTTTTGCATCTGAATTTGTTTGGTCAGTCTTTGCAGTTTGACCAGTGGAGGGCAGCTGAATTGTCTCCGGATTTCTTCAGAGCTCAGCATCTTCCCAGTAGACGAAGAAAACAGTCTATGTTTCACATTACATCACCGCTAGAGCAGCACAATATTGGTAAAAAATGGCATTGCGATATTTTATATTTCCTTAATATATATTGCGATATTACAACAATTTCCCCAGATGACTTGAATTGCTCTATTTGGAAAGAATAAATCATTATAGAATGACCACAAATTTCACAATTTCAAAAATTTGATTCTGATATTGATTCAATATCAATTCCTTTGGATAAATATTAGGTACAGTAGATACGTTAATGTGTTATGTTAATTGTTCTCCAAAAATAAATGACCTAATGCTGTAAACATACAGAGAGCCCTGTCAGCTGGTATTATTAAAGGTTAAAACTAACTCAAATTAAACATAATGCGTTTTTTATAATAACAAACAACTTTACAATATTTTAATGATATAGTTAAAATATAATAAATGTGTAATATACCGGTAGTTATCATATTTATCATATTTAGCAAAATACTCCTCTCTATAGCAATTATTTTAAGTCCAACTAACATGCGTGCTTTGTGCTTTGGTCATTAAAAGGCATTCCTGAGTCTGAGGTAAATGTAACGTTACGTGACACATGTTTTTCTCCAACTTCTCCAGCTGTTTTATGGACATCTTTCCGCGGTTGAAAAACACTGATCGATCGGTTTTATTTCGGTATAGCAGTAAAGAGTAACAGATGATCAGTTCACATGCCACTTGAACTGAGATCTGTTAGTGATCTTTCACGTGATCACATCACAATTACAAGCGCCAAAACTGTGTTTATTGTTTGAATTTCGTAATAAAATTGACAGAATCTGACCGATTTTCATTTTAAAAAATCGGCGCAAATCGCCCAGCCCTACCTTAAAGTGTTCCTGGTACAAGCTGCTAACTCTCACGCAGTGGCCGTAAGACACCCACATTTGATTGGTTTCACGCGCTCACACCCCCGATTTCTCACACTGAAGTGTCAACCCAGTCGGTCATTTTTTATAATAATAGATTGATCGCCCGTGGGCGGGCAACAGAGCTACGTCATTATATTTAAACTTTTTTTTTTGTGTGTTTCTGGAGCTATCACCCCATATATAGCTAGTATTTTAAATCTTAAAATCTCATCTTTACACAGAATATAATGATATTTGTGTATATGGAAAAAAATAATTAATATATAAAACTTTAAAAAACAATCGTCACAAAATCGCTCCTCCCCCAAAATGTCAATGCAGAAAAGTAAATATTAATATACATGTCTTATGCAACTCACAAAACAGAAAAATCCTATATCAAAAGAAAGCTCTCATTCTCAGAAATGTGACTGTGTAGTTTGTTTTATTGTTTTAACGTCTCAGTTCAAATTATCTGAGCTAATATAGCTCACATTATCAACAGAATCGGGCAGTAAAATATGATCCCAGCTAACAAAAACACGTCCCCTGAACGTCCACTGCGAACGTCCCCTGAACGTCTTCGTGTAGGGTTCTTTAAACGTTCTCAGGACGTCGCAGGGGACGTTTGTGGGACGTTCACAGGACGTCGCGGGGGACGTTCGCGGGACGTTCACATGACGTCGCGGGGGACGTTTGCGGGACGTTCAGCAAACATTCGGGGACTTTTCAGACTTCTATAGTGAACTTTAACGTTCACTAGTCTAGAAGTCTTTTTAACATACTAACTACCCAAGTGTGGGATTGAGCTCTGGTTAACCGGGGTGGGGGGAGGAACTGCACATATTTAAGGGGGACAAACACGGACTTATTTAAGTGATGCACCAAACTCATGCAGGGAAGACGCCACACAAACACGGCGCTGAGAAAGAATTGGGTGAGTAGGATAGGATAGTGGGGGGTTTCGGGTGATAGTGTGCAGGTGTTTTAAAGGAGAACTCCGGCGCAAAATGAACCTTTAGTCTAATTACACATTGTTACCTAGTCAACCGTTATCTGAGATTTGTTTTCATGATTGCCGAATGTAAATAGTTTTATCTCTAAAAACAGTTTAGCCTATAACGCTAGTATAATGCTAGTATATAGGGCATAGAGTAATGACAAATAAAAATCGCTTGTTATTACCCCTAAAAAGGCTCAAAATAGCCCCATACCAACACGACACCATAATAAGGGTCCCTACATTCAAAACGAAGCATTGAGAACTTTGTCAGTGTCCATACAGTTTAATAAGCAGATATTTTATACACACAGTAAATTTCGCGAAAACAGGAAGAAGCCATCTTGGAAAAATAGTCTCTACCAGTAGATCTACGAACGCCGATCCAAGTGCGCTGGTGAGATGTGAATAAGGTGATAAAGTGAGCGCGAACAGTAGGCTACGTGTACATATTGAAGACAAATAAACGGTTTGTGTTTGTGTTTCTTCTGGAAACAACGGACCATATGAGATTCTGCACAGTTCAGCGCACTTGGATCGGCGTTCGTAGATCGACTGGTAGAGACTATTTTTCAAAGATGGCTTCTTCCTGTATTCGCGAAGTTGACTGTGTGTATAAAATATCTTCTTATTAAACTGTATCGACACTGACAAAGTTCTCAATGCTTCGGTTTGAATGTAGGGACCCTTGTTATGCTGTCGAGTTGGTGTGGGGCTATTTTGAGCCTTGTTAGTGGTAATAACAAGCGATTTTTATTTGTCATTACTCTATGCCCTATATACTAGCATTATACTAGTGTTATAGGCTAAACTGTTTTTAGAGATAAAACTATTTACATTCGGCAATCATGAAAACAGATCTCAGATAACGGTTGACTAGGTAACAATGTGTAATTAGACCAAAGGTTCATTTTGCGCCGGAGTTCTCCTTTAAGTGTGTGTGTGTTTGTAGACGTCGAGCGCTCCCGGGAACCCCGGTAACCAGAGCGGCCGGAGCATGAAAGTATGGGTTTAAAGGTATGAAGTGTTTATTCATTTAAACGTGTATATTATTTTGTGTATTATGATATGTGAATTGATTTTTTTTGGTGTGTTGTGAACAGATTGCCTCGGTTTTGATTTAATTTGTCCTATATTTTTTTGGATTGATTTGATTATGTAGAGTGGATTTATTTTGAGTTTTCTTTGGTTTTCTTCCTTTAAAGAAGTTATGTTGTTTGCTTTTCCTGAAGTGGATGGATTTTAAAACCTGATCTTAGAGTTTTTTGATAATAAAAGAAGTATCTATGAAAATGTTCTAGTACGTTGTGGTCAGTCTAAGCACCCACGTAACAGAATTTTGGCGACGAGGATGGGGTCCCTAATTTAGGTGTACTCCTTATTTCTATTTTTATTATTTTTTTCTTTTTTTTGTTTGTTTGTTTTGTTTTTGTTTGTTTTTTTTTGAGGACAAATTAAGTCAAAACCGTGGTGAAGACGAAGACGATCAGCTGACGGGGGCCAAGGACTGCAACACAGAGGATTATAATGGAGGAGCTTCAGGAGCAGCTGGCAGATCTAAAGAGGAGACTGGCACGGGAGAAAGAAGAGAAGGATAGACTGGCTATTGAGAATGAGAGACTGTCAAGGGGCACTGGGACAATGGATACTGGGACTGTGCGGCAAGAACGAAGCACAACAAAAGTGGAGGTGGTGTATGCTCCCAGAGAGAAGAGATGTAAAGTTTATACTGGTAAATCTTCAAGTGTACCTTTGAGTGATTGGATTGAGGACCTGAAAAGTGTGTTTAAGGCCCGTAACTTTACATCAGATCAGGCAGTTGATTATATTTGGGAACATCTAGAGGGTGAAGCAAAACAGGAAATTAAGTATAGATCTAAAGAAACACGGTCCACGCCAGAGGGAATTTTTGAAGCTTTGCTTGAAGTATTTGGAAGTGCTCAATCATTTACTGCATTGCAGAGACAGTTTTTTGAAAGGCAACAAGGAAAAACTGAAACACTAATTGAGTTCTCGCATGCATTAATGGCTTTGTTAAAAGAACTAAAAAGTTGTAACCCAAAGGGTGTGTCGGAAGAGGATGTAATGCTTAGGGATCAATTTGCAGAGAATGTGAGAAGTAAAGAACTCTGTAGAGAGTTAAAAAGAATGATTAGACAGAAACCAAGCTTAACATTTCTTGATGTCCGGAAAGAAGCTGTTGAGTGGGCTGGTGAGGGGTTGAGGGTTTCGGAGACATCGTTTGGGTCTGAGAATCTCAGTACTATAGATAGTGAAGCAGTGATGGCAAAACAGAGTACAGATCCAATGTTAGTAGAGCTGTTTGGTATGGTGAAAAGTCAGCAAAAGCAATTAAGTGATTTGACTGAGCAAATGTCCAATTTGCAAGCCTTTAATAGGCAGCAGCGGGGAGTGCCACGAAGATCGTATTCCTTTGATCCCTCGGGACAGCCTATTTGTTTTAAGTGTCAGAAAGTGGGACATATTGGGCGTTATTGTAGTGAGATTGTGAACCCCAGTCAAGTATGGGGGCAGCAGAGATATCCTACGGATGATGTATCCAATCCCCAAGCTCAAAAGCCTGGGCTGTTAAACTAACCCCCTTTGCTGTGGAGAGCCACACAGTAAGTGAGGGGTTACCTGGCTCTGTGGTTCAAGGAACTAGCCCAGAAATCCTTAAAAAATTAGTGGGTCAATGTCCAGTCACTGTTGTGAAGATGGGGGGTGTTAAAATAAATAGTTTGATTGACACTGGTTCTATGGTTTCCATGATAACTGAGAGTTTTTTTTAAACAGCACATTGCAGGAAAGGATGTAGATGCATTGAAGGAGTGTGGGTGGTTGGTGTTAAAAGCAGCAAACGGCCTTGATATCCCATATGTGGGTTATCTAGAATTAGATATTAATATCCTTGACCAAATCCTTCCGAAACAGGGGGTATTGGTGGTAAAAGACGCATTTGACACTGAGACAAGGGAGAGAAAGAAACTGGTTCCTGGTTTAATTGGTATGAATGTAATTCAAAATTGTCATGACCTTTTGAAGCAAGAATTTGGGTCTCAATATTTAAAAAGTTCTATGATGCAGCAATGTGAGGCTTCTTTGAAAAAAGCGTTGGAAATCTGTCAATTGTACGATACACAAGACCAGTCTTTTGTGAACCTGTTGGCACAAAATCCAGTCAAGGTGCCAGCAGGTACGCTTCAATTGGTTTGTGCAGCGAGTGGGTACACTAAACTCATGCCAAATGAGTCCTTGCTTTTGGAGCCTCTGATAGAGAGTGAGGGGAGTTTACCAGCTGACCTTTTTATTATAGGTGCAATAGTGTCCCCAGAAAAGGGACAATTGCTGGTCCCAATTATGAATGTGGGGACTAGTGATGTTATTTTGTACCCACATGTTCGATTAGCGTCTGTACACAGGGCCGAAGTGGTGGTCAGTGGGGGGGATTTTGATATTCAGTTTACTCCAGTACAGGAAGAACAAAATTGTACAGTTTTTATTGAGCAAAGTAATGTGTCACAGTCAGGGGTAACAGCCGCTCAACAAGTTCAGACCCTTAATTTTCCTCTGTTGAATGTGGAGCAGGAAGGAAAGGCCAGGAGGTTGTTGGATAAATATTCCTCTGTGTTTGTTGAAGGGAGTGAGGATGTAGGGTATACTGATTTGATTGAACATCACATCCCATTGTTAGACGACGCTCCAGTTTGCCAGAGGTATAGAAGGTTGCCCCCTACTCAATATGAGGAGGTTAAAGCTCATATTAAATCACTTTTAGAGCAGAATGTAATCAGGGAGAGCTGCAGCCCATATTCCTCACCGATTGTAATCGTAAAGAAAAAGGATGGCTCAATCCGGATGTGTGTGGATTATAGGCAGTTGAATGCTAAAACTAGAAGAGATTCATACCCACTGCCGAGAATTGAAGAATCATTAGATCCATTGAGTGGAGCGTGTTGGTTTTCCACCCTGGACCTGGCAAGCGGATACAATCAAGTGGCAGTGGCAGAAAAGGATAAACAAAAGACTGCTTTTTGTACGCCGTTTGGCCTGTTTGAATATAATCGTTTACCATATGGTTTGTCCAATGGGCCAAGTACTTTCCAACGTCTGATGGAACGGATATTCAGTGATGAAAGTTTTCAGTCAGTGCTCTTGTATTTGGATGATGTGATTGTGTTTTCGTCAACAGTGGACCAACATCTGGAGAGATTGGAGAAAGTCTTACAACGATTTCAGCACCATGGTCTCAAAGTTAAGCTCAGTAAATGCTGTTTTTTTCAACAAGAAGTACGTTATTTGGGTCATGTCATTTCTAGTGAGGGGGTGGCAACAGACCCTGAGAAGATTCAAGCAGTAGCAGAATGGGCGAGACCACAGACAGCAAAAGAGCTTCGCTCTTTCTTGGGATTTGCAAGTTATTACAGACGTTTTGTGCAAGGATTCGCTAGAATTGCAGCACCATTACATCAGCTGGCAGCTATCGGGGAAATGCCAAAGGGTAAGAAGCAAAAGAAAAGAAGACATTTCACTGGTGAACAATTCAGACAGCAGTGGGATGACAAATGTGAAGAAGCTTTTCAAATACTAAAAAGGAAGTTAACATCTGCTCCTGTATTAGCTTATGCTGATTTCACAAAGCCTTTTTTCTTGAAATAGACGCCAGTCATACAGGACTCGGAGCGGTGATCTCCCAGGATGTGGGAGGTAAGCGGAGGCCAGTGGCCTATGCTAGTAGGGGTTTGAGGGAGTCTGAACGTAATATGGATAACTACAGTACAATGAAGCTGGAGTTTCTTGCCCTTAAATGGGCAGTAACGGAGAAATTTCGGGACTATTTGATTGGTAATAAGTTTACAGTGTTCACAGATAATAACCCTCTGAGTCATTTGAAGACGGCCAAATTGGGGGCTGTGGAGCAGCGATGGGCTTCTCAGTTGGCCATGTTTGATTTTGAAATTGTGTACCGTCCTGGGAAGAAGAATGGAAATGCAGACGCTTTGTCTCGACAAAAGTCGGTAGGAGGACTACAGCTGGCTGTATCAGAGGGAGTGACGTCCACATTCAATGGTGGTAGTGGACTGGAGGATGGAGACAATGGGAGTATTCTACCGCAATCTTTAACTACAGTGGATGTTATTTCCGTTTTCCCTGAATTTCAGATGCAAGATCTACAAAACTGGCAAGAAGAGGATCCTGTTATTTCCCGGCTCAAGTTCTACTGGAGTAAGGGGGAAGGGCCAGACAAGAAAGAAAGAAAAGAGGAGTCAAAAGATGTTCTGGAGCTGTTAAGACAGTGGGATAAAGTGGAAGCTCATGAAGGCGTCTTTTATAGAGTCATTGCAGATGCTAGAGGGGGCTGGGTAAAACAGCTTCTCTTGCCTCAAGTTTTAAAGCAGGAAGTCCTTGGTCAGCTGCATGACCATCAAGGTCATCAGGGGATTGACCGAACATTCAAGCTGGTACGTCAACGGTTTTACTGGCCTGGGATGTACCAGGATGTTCAGGAGTTCTGCAAACATTGTCTGCGATGTATTGTGTCGAAGGATGTTCAGCCTAAGGTAAAAACAGCGATGAACAGCATTCAAACATCTAAACCCTTGGAGGTTGTGGCATTGGATTTTACGTTGCTGGAACGTTCCCAGAGTGGAAAAGAAAATGTGCTTGTCATAACGGATGTATTTTCTAAATTCACAGTAGCCGTACCGACAGTTGATCAGAGGGCCATAACAGTTGCAAAAGTGCTGGTCAAGGAGTGGATTCATCGATATGGAGTCCCAGCCCGGATTCATTCTGACCAAGGACGGTGCTTCGAGGCTGAAGTCGTGCAGCAGTTGTGTCGTATGTATGGCATACAGAAGAGCAGGACAACAGCATTTCACCCCCAAGGCAATGGGCAGTGTGAACGTTTTAATAGAACTTTACATGATCTCCTCAGGGCCCTTCCTTCTGAAAAGAAAAAGAGATGGGATGAGTATTTGCATGAAGTGTTGTTTGCATATAATACTACTGAAAATGCTACGACTGGATTTTCCCCATTCTTTTTAATGTTTGGCAGGAGCCCAGATCTCCCAATTGACCATTATTTGAGGGGTGGTACAGTAGAAAAAAAGAAGGCATGGTGGAGACCTGGGTGATTGAACATCAGCACAAACTGCAACAGGCTTATAGGCTGACACAGAGACGGTTGCAGAAATTGGCCAAGCAGAGACAAAGGAAACAAGGAGTGAGCAAAGATGCCAGTCTGAATCCAGGAGATTTGGTTTATCTGCGTAATCGCAGAGTTAGAGGAAGGAATAAAATTCA